GTGAAAAGCCATCAACAAGTCCTCCAACTAATACGACCAAATAGGTCGATTGTTTTCCGACCCAAATATGTATAAGTATGGAATATCTTTTTTTAATTAAACTAAATTCCATGATTTGTTTTATATTTTGTTATTTTAGATCAACATCTTCTCACACTGAGAAACCTGTTGGGTTCTCTCACTGTCCCTGCATCATCAGAAGAAACACCCACTGTAACAACATGGACCCAAAGACAGTTGAAACGTGAACAGAAATTCAGAGCTGCAATGCCAGAGCTCCTTCATTTGAAATTGGCTGCAGAGATTGTCACTAAACGTTCCTGTCTCCAATGCAAAACTGCTGATGCTGTGGTCCGGTGCTTGGACTGTGTTCCACCAGGAACTCCCTTTCTTTGTCCGGCATGTGACCCAATTATCCATGGCAACAATGTCTTCCATGACAGGGAAGCCATGATTGATGGGTTTTACAAGACCTATTCCTCCCACATCCTTAGTGGTTGTGGATGAAAGTGGCCAATATGGGACTCTGTGAACAAGGTGGGTTCAAATAGTTTTATTACATATTCCCTGTACCATGGTTTCCTAATGTGCACTACATATACAGCGGCATCATTTTCACCATGTCGGAAGTTTTGCTTTAAACTATTCAAATGTCTCAATTGTATTGACTACATGTCCTAACATGCATATGAATCTCTGAAATTGTCTTTGCTACAGTGTGTCTGCTTCCAATTCCTCCACCATCCCAAATCTGCTTCTGTGGTCCAAGCCAAGATTTCACCATCAATCCCAGGAAAGCAGACCGTGTTGGTGACTATCAATGGTTGTGTTGCCACCAGAAGACGATGTGGTCAAGCAAAAATACAGGATTACTATTATACTTTTGTCCTGCGTTGCATAGATACCTGTCAAATTGCACATTTATATTTTTTCTCAGGTCCATACAACGTTTGCCTGCCTTCTGTGTGCTGTCCAACTTGTTCCACCAAATGGTCCCCGAGCATAGGTGACTTGCTTGGATACAAATACTGGCCAGCAACCGACAGCTGCAAAATTATTTTTAAGTTTGATGTGTTCACATCATTCGAGCAAATGAAATTGGCCAGCCCAGCATTATCCCAGCAAGTATTTATAAAAATGCTTGAACATCGATCGTTTTCCACAGGAAGGGTAAGAATAAAATGTGGTTTTCAAGATTTTTGAATACCAAACTTTGAATTAACAAAATGAATACCATTCTTGTTTCCAGACAGGCAGAATCTGTAGCGATACCTTCCACAGAGTCTTTCGGGAGTTTGCCTTCTGTAATTACAGACAAGAAGATCTGTGCCTGGTGGAGCCCTTTAAATGCCCAGCATGCACACCTGACATGCTGGCTATTGCTGTAGATGGCAATAGAAAGCATTATCGCTTCAAGAAGTCCAGAGGGTCAGTGAAATCATATTCTCATTTTTAGTTGTTGTTTTATTGACTAAGCTGAATGTCTTTGCTGAAATGTTTAACTTTCCCCAACTTTCCAATTTTTTTATTTATTTTTATTTTCCAAAGTTTGTAGACCATCAGAAAACAATAGTTGGTTTGTAATTACACATAATTATATCAATCCAATTCATAAACATTATTGTATATGACGCCTGTAAAGTAAACTTTAAAATGTTAAATGGTTGACGTTAGTTGGATATGTTGGAGCTAAGAACCAGCTTTGGATATAATCGCTTCATGATAAATGTATTAAATTGTCCAGGAACCTTTTTCTCTGCCTTCCTCTGCCCTATTCCATGCCCAGCAATATAAAGGATGTACTTTTATTTGTACCTTTCTACAAGAAGTCAGTAAACTTTTCACTAATGTTAAATAATGGTGACAAAAGGCTTTACACAAAATTACAGATCAAATTCACAAAGGCCTTTTCCACATTTATGAAAAATTGATAGCAAAAGCAAATTGCCCACATTAAATAGAGGACACAATCAAACTTATGTATGTATGATAATGTTGCTTACAATTTATTTCTCGAATTTCGCAGGACAGATGAACCGTCTCTATTTGATGGACTGTTCATTGCCCAGGACAGTAAAGTGTCTGCCTTTGTCGACAAAATCAGGAGCCAGATGACGATTGTAAGAATCTATTCGACCCACTAACCCTTTTATTTATTTTACTTAGCACAGGGTTAAATGTAACAGATTGTGTCTATTTCAGAAAAGTGGTCGTGATGTTTGTGGACCGGCAACATTCACAGCTTGCAGAGAAACCTCACACAAGTCCAGGGCCAAGGTGGACGAGGAAGGCCTGCAAATAGCTGTGTGCAGACATGGCATCTTGCTACAAGGCCTAAATCACTACCGTGGTGAAATATATGCCTACCCAATGTTCCTGCAGAAGGAGCTGGCTGAAGTTGCGAATGCAACATTCTTTTGTATGGATGTTGCCTGCAGGTAGTTATAACTATTGCAAAATGCAAAGTGTTTGTGTGAAACGTGTTATCTATTTAATTCTTGCACATCCAGTAGATGTAAAGCAAAAAAGCATTCATTTGGATAAATGCTGATGTTGGTTACAAGGATTGTACTGGTAATTTTAAGGACCTGATTTATCTTTTTACTATTATGCCATCATGCAACTGGAAAAGCTAATTGATTTTGTCATTACAGGTACTGGCCTTATTTGGAGAAGATGGCAGGCAAGTTGCCAGAGCTCCAACCACTTACAGAGATGAAACCTTTTCTCTCTGTAATGCACGCCAAGGCCCACACAGGCAAACTGCGAGGTACAGTATGCAAGTTAAACATTTGTGTGACTAGATTCAAATGTTTAGAAATTGGTAGTTGCACATAAGAATATCATGTAGTATATTCTATTCAAGCCTGTGGAATAATTGTAATAGTTACAAATGTTGACAAAATTGTTACAAAACAGACTGTCACAAGGATAGGCTTCCAAAACCCATTATGTTGTTTTAGTAAATATATCCGCACTGTAGAAATAATGAATGAACAGAGCTTCAAATAACTGCAGTTGTGACATTGTAGCTCAAAGCATAATTCAATCTCAGAACATTTTAACTTTCTGAAATTTCTCTCCTGACACTGATGTTAACTAAAGATGTACAGTACAAGAAATATAATATTGAACTAAATATCTAGATCTCATTGTTTATGATCTGAGCAGGTGAAGTGGGGTGGCAGAAGCCAGGAAGGTGCTGGAAATACTGTTGGCGAGGAAGTGGAACAGGTTAACAGCTTCCTCTCAAGGGCAGCTCCTGACAACAAAATACCATGACCAAATCAGGTTGGTAGAGGAAAACAAATTGTTTTAAGCAGTGCCACATTGTAAAGCTGATGTGAATTCTCATATTTTTGTGTTTACAGCTAGAGCAGATATGATAACCGTGCTGGCTATGCTATGGAACCACAGGAAGGTGGAGAATCTCCACAAGACACTCTCAAAGAGATTTGTCAAAGTAAGACGTCCATGCTGCATTTCAAAATGTACATTAAGAATATCTGAGTTTCTTGTTGTAGTAATTTAACACCATCCTTAGCTACATGTTGTTGAATAAAATATATTCCTGCAATAATTTCATTATGATGGTGCTGCCCATAGCACACTGCTCTGCCAAGAGAGTCTCTGTTCTGTTGTTTGTAATTAAGCACTATAGGTTGATTCATCTGAATTTCTGTATAATAATAATCATGTTAATCCTGCTTGATCTTTTAAAAAAAAGAAAAGGGACTCTAAGGTGATACTTGCCAACCTTGAAGAGAAGGTGTTTAGCATTTCATGTTGTTGTCTGGTCAGTTAATGTTCATAAAGGAATTCATTAAAAAACAACCTTCTCAACCAACTGGAACGCATATTCACTTTCTGCTTTTAAACATTCTAACCAGACTACACAGAGAGCACAAACTGAAGTGGACAAGCTTGAGAGTCTCAAGCAAGAGCTGAACATCTCCCTGGAGGACACGGAGCAGTGGGTGTTGGAGGTCAAGCAATGGGCAGCCACTGGTATGTTATATGATCACTGTGGTATAGATTTGGTTCCATATTTCCAAACATTTGGCTTCATGTTTTATGATTATACCTGGTTGTTTCTGTTTTCAAGAGAAACATGGAGGCCAGAGCAGCCAGGAGGAGCTCCAGAGAGAAATAGATGACATTATTTATTCCCTCCGAAGAAAGAAACACGACCTCTATCGACAAATGGTATTTATTATTACGTTATCTAGAAACAATATTTGTTTCTTGTTGTTGTTATTGTTAGTATTATTATTATTTTTACTTTACAGACAGCAACCAAACAAGGGCAACGCAAACGGAGAAGACTGACAGAGCTCAAGAATAAACTCAGAAGAGAGGATACTGCAGTACAACACCATTGATACCTGTACAGAGACAATTGACACAGAAGCAGCATGCAGTCTGTCTGAGGATTGTCATTCTGCCCTGGGAAGCGCAAGGAGATGGTAAGAAACAACTTGTTTTGTTTGCCCTAGATATTCCTAAATGCAGTTGTAGTACTAGAATACAATCACAATGTAACACAGAGCTGTCAACATAGGTGTCACAAATCATCATGATCACAACAAAGCATTTGGAAATAATTATATTGAAAGGTCGTATGATGTTGCCCTATCAAGTCTTAATAGTCATGCTATAGTCTCACTGGGACAGGCACATCTATGGAAACAGTAAAACCCTTCCTGACCACCCTGAACTGCATACTAATGTTGAATCTCAAGACATACTGAATGTAATTCTGCCAACATAGACAGAATTGAAAAAATTCAGCAAGCGGCGAGGTTGGACATTTTTTACCAGATTTCAAGGTTTTGGGCAATTTAAGTTAAAAGATTGAATGCAAACGGATATTATTTGTTTTATTTAGCCTTACCATTGTGTTTGTGTTGTCATATTTTGTGTTTTTTCCATTATAGTGGTGAACCCTACGCACAAAGAGGCGACTTTTTGACCAGGTTATGCTGGTCAGGCGTATGGAAGAGGAGAAAGTCATCATTGTGAAGGAGATGACCCAGCATTGTCAAAATCTGAGGCAGGCACTGGACAAACTGGACCACCTCCTTCATCAGACAAAAGACGACATCAGGAACCAAAGTATGTTCCACAAATACCGATTTATAACATTTGCCACTGCCCCTTCTGGTCAGTGTCAAACGTCTGTCACTGAATAGCATCTGTAATGATTGCATTTTTTTCTGAATCACAATCTTTTTTAGCTAATATACAGCCTCGGAGTTAAACATTAAAATTGCTTATATGGAACCAACATCAATGCTAATTAAAAGTTGCCTTACATAGACTGTCATTTTGTCTTTTTATTTTAGTTTCTCCAAGCGATATAACAGAAGAGGGATACAGGGGACTGCACTGCTGTCTTTTACAACCATCAATATCTTCTGGAGCAGAAACTGAGCAGAGTCACCAGCACCTACAGCTGTATTGGCACGGACTCGTCTTTTCTCATGATGGAGGAAGACATTGAAGACGTTGATGAGGACAACGAACAGGACGGTGATGAGGACAACGAACAGGACGGTGATGAGGACAACGAACACGACGGTGATGAGGACAACAAACAGGACGGTGATGAGGACCAAACGAACAGGACGGTGATGAGGACAACGAACACGACGGTGATGAGGACAACAAACAGGAAGGTGATGAGGGACAACGAACAGGACGGTGATGAGGATAAACGAACACGACGGTGATGAGGATAACGAACACGACGGTGATGAGGATAACGAACACGACGGTGATGAGGATAACAACAAACAGGACGGTGATGAGGACAATGAACACGACGGTGATGAGGACAACAAACAGGACAACGAACAGGACTTAACAAGTCTATTGTATTGTGTTGTATGCATGTGAACGTATTAAAACGAGTATTACGATTTAATGGCTTGTTTATTACCTTTTTTTTGTAATTATCCTGCTTTGCATTTACTATGTCTGGATTCAACTAAATGCCATTAGCAGTTATCAGTCACCTTCGGATTCCGAGTTACCTCGAGGGCGGAGGTTCCCCACCCCTGGTATAAGGTTTTGGTGATTACCCTTATTATCATGATCTGTTTAATTAACCAATGCTTACATCCAAAGAATGTGTCTAGACTTTACTCCTACAGACACACACTAACAATACAAATGGACCTAAGTAATACACTCACCGGCCACTTAATTAGGTACACCTTGCTAGGATGGGTTGGACCCCCATCTGCTTTCAGAACTGCATTAAGTCTTCATTGCATAGATTACACAAGGTAGGCTACTGGAAACATTCCTCAGAGATTTTGCTCAATATTGACCTGATCGCATCACGCAGTTGCTGCAGATTTGTCAGCTGCACATCCATGACGCAAATCTCTGGTTCCACCATATCCCAATGGTGCTCTGTAGGATTTGGATCTGGTGACTGTGGAGGCCATTTGAGTAAAAGTCATTGTCATGTTCAAAACCAGTTGGAGAATATTTGAGCTTTGTGACACGGTGAGTTATCCTGCTGGAAGTAGCCATCAGAAGATTGGTACACTGTTGTCATAAAGGCATGGACATGGTCAGCACAACCCGGTATCAAGGCAAGACGTGAACATGTGACGATTTACCATGCTGGGAGACGTGAAGATGTCACGATGTTGTCCCTTCAAACGTGACAATTACACAGTATTGTTAACATGGCCCAACCAGTGGAGATATACCCGGAAATGCCAAGCAAATGCTACCCCGACGGTCGGTTGTTATTATTATCAATATTAATAAAATAATGATTTAATTTGTAATAGTCACACTCGATTTCGCCGATTTTCTTGATTTGCTGGTCGACAATCAACTTTGTGTACTTTATTTTTGCAAAAACAGATAATTAACATCTGGAGCTCTTTTAATGTCCTTTTTGATTATTGTTACACCAGGTCTTGTCAAAACCTTTATTCCATATTCAATATCCATTACTTAACAAAACAGCACACCTGAAATGTATATTTAAATACTTTATTAAGGGCAGTGAATTAATTGTTTCTGTATGTTTTTCAAATCAGTGTTATAAGTGTCATAGACACATAATTACATTGCTATTATTATCCTTAAAATATATGTAAAACAAAACCACTTATGATCTTTTTATTTGAGTGGTTTACTAATGACAGTTAATTCAGTTTTTGCTATTGATGGTTTCATTTTTGTGAAAAATAATAAAATGCAATAACGTGCTTTAACCACTAGGTGTCCCTTTCTATCAGAAAAATAAATCTAAGATCAGTAATGTGTTGCTTAAAATAATACTTCTGCATGCACCCCCTGGCCAACTTGTGGCCCCACGCAAAGTTATATGATGAGGCCCTGTGTGTAGCGAACGTCGACTCTGCACACTGAGCTCTGATTGGTCACCAGGCGGTGCTTTCACTGAGTTGATCTCTTATCCTGGAACCTTTCATATGGTGTGTGTGTGAGAGCGTTTCATATGTATATATTGTTGGCGAAATATTTTCAAGGCCAATAACTTTGAGCCAGTTGATCAGTTTTGTCCTGACTGAGCGCAGGCACCTGTATCCTTGGCTGCTGTGCTCTCAGTGTTTTGTCTCCCTGTTCCTGCCTGTTGGCGTCAGCTGATAGAGGTGTTGGTTTTATCTCGTTATGCACAATGTTGATTCTTCTCTCAGAACTAGCTACATATGGGTCTGGGGTAGACATCTTCAGAATTGGTTTGGAATCTTTTGTGTCAATTCGTGTCACACAACATGTCTTGTGAATAAACCATCAGTGTTTGCCATCAAAGTTCCTGCTCTCCTCGTGTCTCTCTGAGTCCAGTTTCCATTGCTTCAGAAGTTTCCATCGCATATGAGAGATTTGTACATGTTTGTAAATGATTTTGGTTTCAGTGTGTTTCACATGTGAACAGTATTTCTGAATAATGTCCCTAACGGCCCCCCATAGACATAATCCAAAAATAAATGTGAATATTTTTTTGTATTATCGCCAACAATTGAAGTTGAAGTGCAGCTTGAATATATAGGATATAAAAATGACAAGTACAGTAAGAAAGAAAGTGATATGAGTGACATGTTTTATTATTTGATCACCCTTCATTTTCTCTGTTGATAAGATGTTATGGAATGAAATACAATGTCAGATTAGGGGAAAGTTAGGGGAGTGCATGTTAATGCGTCTGGAGGTGGCGTGTTCCAAAAGTGTTTGGGTTTGTCTGCCGTGAGTGGGCTGCATTCCAATTCAAATTGCCGCCTGTACAATGTATGCACCAGTCTGATATGCCGATGTGCAGGCCCGCTCCTCCCTACACGCCGATCACACAGACTGCGTCTGCCTCTCGCCCTCATCTTGTGGAGGGAGCCTCATCTGATGCGCAAATGCGGCGCAATTGAGCGCGCCACAGTTTCTGCTGCGAGGCTCCACTAGCTGTAATCGGCTTGGTGTGTCCGGGGTTTACACACCACCACCACCCCAGTCGACGCTCGCGAGGGCCTCATCACATCACAGCCCTGCCGATGTGATATAATGTATAGGACCTTTTTCCTCATGGGTGTCATTCAACAGACCAAACATGACAGTTTTAGAGAATGAGTTTGTATGGATACACTTAAAACATATTTGTATTTGTCTTGGCTTCAGCTCACTGATAACATAAGAACACAAATAGGCACGGCACTTACATAGATGTTTTTTTTAATATGTATTTTATTACTCCAATGTAGAAAAACAAAAGTCAGGCATATTTAATTAGGAAAGTTTTCCTTTGGCTCCCAGGAATGTTTCCACTTCGCCCCACTGTAAAACAGAAACACAGCAAAAAGTATTGCTTTTTTTCAACTGTTTGGAATATGTAGTTCTACAGTATGTTGACAATGCTATTTCAAATGAGAAGATACACTAAGTCACTTAAAAATATCGTGATGAAAGTGCAGTATAATATATATATTTATATATACAGGGTTCTTACACCTTTTCCAAAGTCAAATTCAAGCACTTTTCAAGCATGTTCAAGGTGCATTTTCCAGCTTTTCAAGCATCTTACAGCTGTTGTAAATTACATATTTATATACACATACTCAAATGATTATTTCCCTACCTCACATTAAATCAGATGTTCTTTATGCTGTAAACAACCAAATGTGTGTTTCGTGATAGCCTTCTACACGAGGATGAACAATTAAAGAAAAGAAAAGTAAGTTTAATATTTCAAAATGAGTGATCTGTCCGTAGACTGGGCCTCCCAGATAACCTGTCTGAGCCAATATAAAACAATCAGCCAAATAACTTTAATACATTATTGATTACTATTTTTGAGGTACTTTTCGGTTGGCAGTGAACATAAGTCAGAAGTACATGGTGTACTTTGACTCCACTACATGTATTTAATACCTTCAGTTACTTCACAGATGAATGATGAAATCTAATCAAGTGTTGAATCAGACTTTAGTTCCACCTGGAGTAAATCCACCAGCTACCCTGCAGTATACAAAGTACTTCAAACTAGCTGCACCTTTACCAGCTTTGAGAACACTTTCATGATCAATCATTATAAAACATATATATATTATTCTGAAATGGACCAATCTGCACAACGACTACTTTTACTGTCGCTACTTTCACTATATTTTGATGAGAATACTTTTCTACTTTCACTATATTTTGATGAGAATACTTTTCTACTTTCACTTGAGGAACATTTTGAATGCAGGACTTTTACTGTGAGAGAGTATTCCTACAATCTGGTACTTCTACTTTTAAGTAGAAGTACAATACCTGAGTACTTCTGCTTTTACTCAAGTACAAGATCTGAGTACTTCTACTTTTACTCAAGTACAAGATCTGAGTACTTCTACTTTTACTCAAGTACAAGACCTGAGTACTTCTACTTTTACTCAAGAACAAGATCTGAGTAATTCTGCTTTTACTCAAGTACAAGATCTGAGTACTGCCTCCAAGACAGCACACAGCAATAATACTACTTACTAACTATACTAATAGTATAATTGTTAAGAACAAATGTAACAAGTAAGTAATTACAAAAGAGATCAAATACCATCCAGCATCACATATCAATCATTTAACCTTTAGTGATATTGATCAAGGATAAACTCAGTTGTATATTGTATTTTAATTTATATTCCAATGTAAGCTACTTCCCTGCTTATGTGTTACAACCAGACAGCGTTTCTAGGGCGCAATTTTCATTTCATTTCAAACCTTTATTTAACCAGATTGGTCCCATTGAGATAATAGATCTCTTTTTCAAGGGAGACCTGCGATGTCTGAATGACGAAGGGCAGAGAACTTGGATGTCTTACTTTATGGCACAATCGCTGTCTGATAGAGCCATTGATGACATGGCTCCCCACCCCCATGTGATCAACTAAATTGAATTTACTGCTGAGGAACCCAAAATGTTTAAGTTAGTGATCTCAGGGTTGATGAAGTTGGTTGGTAAGACTACTTTCTGGCCCCTGTTCTGCCAGCCCCACCAGCTACACTGAAGGAAACTTCAGATTAGATACATACCATCCAGAGCAGGACTGCCACTGCACCAACACCTCGGCATGGCCCTGAGTAAAGAAAGACAGATTTTAGGTAAACTTATTTTTTTTTCAAATGTCATATATGTAAATACGAAAAGTCCAGAGAAATCAAATGATCATTTGAAATAATAGTAGGTACGATTAACTCAAACATATGAAGGACTGTAACATAGTCAATAGCATTTTCCCCATCAGTTTAATATTTTGGAATACTATTATTATTTAAAAAGATATTTTCACTGCCAAGAATTCACCTACAAATGATTACAAGAAAACATGTAATATACAAATAAATGGCTGGACATGATGCATTAATGCGACATGAAGCATTACACAAGTACCTCAACCTTAAATTAATAATAATTTA